TAACCATTCTATGATTCTATGATTCTATGATTCTATGATTCTATGATTCTATGATTCTATGATTCTATGATTCTATGATTCTATGATTCTATGATTCTATGATTCGAGGGTGGTGAGGCACTGGAACAGGTTGCCCAGAGAAGTTGTAGATGCCCCATCCCTAGAAGTGTTCAAGGCCAGGTTGGATGAGGCTTTGGGCAACCTGGAGTAGTGGAAAGTTTCCCTGTCCATGGCAGGGGGGTTGGACCTAGATGATCTTTAAGGTCCCTTCCAACCCTAACCATTCTATGATTCTATGATTCAAAGTTTGAACAGATCAGATCTCGAAATCTAGGAATGAAGTCTCATGGGGAAAAAACTTGCACAAACTCAGTTATGAGTTCGTGCCCTCCAGAGGAGGGCCCTCCAGAGGAGGGCCACGAAGATGATAAGAGGGCTGGAGCACCTTTCCTATGAGGACAGGCTGAAAGAGTTGGGGCTGTTCAGCCTGGAGAAGAGGAGGCTCCGGGGTGACCTTATAGCGGTCTTCCAGTACCTCAAGGGGGCCTACAAGAAAGATGGGGAGAGGCTATTCAGGAGGGCCTGTTGTGATAGGACAAGGGGTAATGGTTTTAAAATAGAGGGAGGTAGATTCAGATTGGATATTAGGAAAAAATTTTTTACCATGAGAGCTGTAGAACACTGGAACAGGTTGCCCAGAGAGGTGGTGGATGTTCCATCCCTGGAGACGTTCAAGGCCAGGTTGGACGAGGCCCTGAGCAACCTGATCTAGTTGGAGATATCCCTGTTCCTTGCAGGGGGGTTGGACTAGATGACCTTTGAAGGTCCCTTCCAGCCCTAACCATTCTATGATTCTATGATTCTATGAGTTAATAAAATCAATATTCTTCAAATGTATGCATTTCATACATATTAACAGCAACTTATTGTTTTAGTTTTTGCATTTTTGTTAATATGTCTCAACTCAACTGCTGGAAGAGGAGAAGTGAATCGCCTTCTGATTGCCGAAAATAGTATTATTAATGTGAAGAAACATGGAGGATCTGTCTTGCAAATCACTTACCTAAAGTATGTAGCAATACAGAGAATAACAACAAGCATTGGGTAATATATATAGAATCCATCTGCAATGAAGGACAGCACTCTCATGGATCCCATGATCTGGAGAAAAAATCCACAAGAACAAGCTCTAATCAGATATATTCTACATATATCCATAAAGATTGTGCCATCTCACTGTTTTGTGTCCACAACACACAAAATACACAATTGTTTACAGTTACTGAAACACAGGTATTATCATCACAGATCTGAATCAGACAGTTGACCCAGAATGCCTAAGGCTCCTCCAACAGTGAATCAATTTTGAGGTTTCTAAGATGCTAGATCTTGTTGTCTCATCTAATCCAGAACCAGTTCAAATCTACTGGAACTTTTCATCTGCTGTGAAAGGAGTCTCTGGACAACACTAAGAATCTACTTCCTACAACAAAGACACGAGATGTAACTTGCTGTCCTACAGATATTGGTTGTTGAGTAAAACCAAACTGACTGGTTTTCAGTGGCAAGTTACGTTTGCTCCCAATCTATAAAGATGTCCCATAGGCTAAACTCAGTGGAAGCTAAAGCTATTACGAAGTGAAGAACAGTCTGAACTCTTCAACATAATACTTTATTTTCTTGGGATAAAGAGACCAAAACAGAAAAATTGAGCTATTGATGACTCCTGTGTAGCTAGCAATCATTACCAAACTCCTGGTCTATAAGTAAGTATTTCTACCCTGTTTAATACTGGTGAAAAGATTTGAATATCTGAATCTTACTGTAAGAAGTATATTTTGCCTATTCTCCAAACTATACAGAAGCCTCATAATCACATTTTCTGTACTTACAGACGTATAAGCAGTTGGCTGAGTGTTTTTGTGAGAGATTGTTGCATCCATATGGGTCAAGCCCAAAAAGTTCAAGCATAATGGTGGAGTAAGACGGCAAAATAACCTGCACAAACGCAAGCAGCAACATTTGAAACAATTCTTGCACTAAATATTAAGAATCGTAAGTGGATATATCACAGAATAATTATGTACAGGTCATTAGGATTCATACCCATATGATTATAAATTAAAGAACATAAGTTTCATGGACATTTTCAATTGACTATTTGACAGAAAATCTGCAAAATACATGCCACATACTCACATGCCACTGAAAAGGAGACTGTACGCATCTGTCTGATGATGTGAAGCTAAGTAATAATAGTTAAATACACGGATCCTGAAGACAGTAGAGTAAACACAGATACTTAGGAAAAAAATGGTAAGAAAACAGGCCATCTGGGGGGAAAAAAAAATAGTCTGAATGAAAAACTCTACTTAAAAGTTTTACTGCATTCAGCACATAGTCTGTGCATGCAACAGGTTGATTGCAATCTGATTTTTAATGTTGAGATGGGAAAATAACACCAGCTCTGAGAAGCATTTCAGGAGTTTTGACTAGTTTAAATTGACAGTGATACTTGTAGCATTCTGCACTTCACATAAACTAACACAGCTGACCCTGGGAACATTTATTCTACTTATTTTTGTTATGTAAATTAAATTGCTGTAATTGCCTCAATAATTACTACGAATGATTTGACATTTCTTCCCACAAAAAGTGATAAAACTAAGTGTTTTCAGTTCAGTCTATTTGTCATTATACTGGAATTTTTCAGCACTATTCCTTCACTGATAAATTTGTGAATACGTCTGATAGCCACACCTGTGACTGGATTTCTGGTGAACAGCAAACTCCTGTTCAGGAAAGAAAGGTCACACACATGGTTGATTAGACACAAAGTCTATACACTTAAGCTCTAAGCTAATCCTTCACAAATTACTGTGCACATGATATTCAGCTCAACGGGGTCACACCTTCAACCTGTACTGGAGACTTGTAAGAAGTGGCAAAAGGTAAACTCCCTCCACAGAAACAAAGTCTGGTATTTTGTATTTTAGAGACTTTCTGCAAGTGGACAGATCATTTAGAAACTTATTTTTAAATCTATCTGGTCAACTATTATTGTAATAACAATCTATTTGAAAAGATCTTTGTTGTGTAATTATCTCAAACTTACCTCTATGTATATGTAATTATATGTCTTTTCTGCCAGCTGTATGAAAACTGCAAACAGAGATAAAACTGGTTTTGTGCTGAAAAATGTGCACTCTGACCACACAACAATTACAGAGAACGTGGCCAAAACAACTGCAAGCACCCTGTAAAACCATGGCCGTAGAAGACACTCCCAGTACCACTCTGGAAAAAACAAACACAAACACATCCGGAATGAGTTAATGAAAATTAAACAACCAGAAATGCAACTCCCTCACAAAAACTGTTATGAACTTCTTGCGCTCACGTCCTTAAAATCAAGACTGTAATCTGTGGGGTCACACAAATTCAGGGCTTTTCCAATGCCTAGAGATCTGGCTCAGCCCTAAGGAATCACATACACAAGTGGGGAAAACAGGATGAGATTTGGGGGGAGTGGGGAGTGTAGAACAGAACTCTTCACTTTTGGCCCTACAGATGATCCACTTTTCATTTTGTTCAACTCTCACTCTCTCAGAAACAATGCGTAGGCTGTAAAATTAGATTGTCCTACCCTGGAAATAAGTCATAGCTAGTGCACAACAAATTTGAAGTTAAAACCTGATTGGCAGAAGACACTTTGTAAAAAGAAGCACAAGAAGCCATGTATCCTAGTGTTTGGTATATGGCAGACAAAGAGTCTTTTCCTTCTTGCTTTACTCGAAGAGTGGTGCCACTTCAACAATATCCCACAAATGTAGAAGGTATCCATGATGTAATAATTTAAAGTTGCTATTTTTCTATTTTCTCCTAAGGCTTCCAAGTTTGCTATTGCTATTACAATGTGTAACTGATACTAAATATGTAAAAAAATTTAAGCTTATGGTCAAGAGTATAAATCAAGACCTGATGGCTATTCTGTTACGTAAGTGCATTAAGATGAACATGGGCTTCCCTCTACTGTAACTGAACTTTTTACATAAAACAATCAATTCTTCTTACAAAATGGCACGAGTTACTCCTTTACGTATTCAAAATCTGCATGACGGCACTCACCAACAGTTGGTGTGTAGAAATACTGAATGATTTTATTCTCTGGTTCCTGGGAATGAAAGGTATGAACAAACCGACGAGTTGCACTGGTTTCATTTTTCGCTACATCTTCTAGGTAAAATGCTTGTTCCAAAAGAATTTGCCACTGGACTTGTGTACGACGATGTCTCTGTACTGAATAGATTACCTATAGGAAATTACAAGAAATTGCGGTTACAACATACTTGTTTCAAGAAACAAAATAAAAGTCCTGCAAAATCCCTTCAAAATGTCTGTATTACAGAATTGCAAACATTGATTCTGTACACTCACAGAAACGGGCAGTTGATTCTCTAAATATATAAATCATAAGAGGACTACATACATGATTCCTCAGTTTAGCAGTTCTTTCATCAAAATTTATCTGTACTAATAAAAGCCTACTTTTTCCAACATACTAGAATCATAGAATCACAGAATCATAGAATTGTTAGGGTTGGAAGGGACCTTAAAGATCATCTAGTTCCAATGCCCCTGCCATGGACAGGGAAATCCTCCACTAAACCACGTTGCCAAAAGCCTCATCCAACCTGGCCTTGAACACTTCCAGGGATGGGGCATCCACAGCTTCTCTGGGCAACCTGTTCCAGTGCCTCACCACTTTGAGTAAAAAATTTCTTCCTTATATCCAATCAAAATCTCCCCTCCTTCAGTTTAAAGTTATTGTACCTTGTCCTAGCACTACACGTCCTTGGAAAAAGTCCCTCTCCAGCTTTCCTGTAGGCCCCCTTTAAGTACTGGAAAGCTGCTAGAAGATCACCCCAGCGCCTTCTCTTCTCCAGGCTGAACAGCCCCAACTCTCTCAGCCTGTCTTCATAGCAGAGGTGCTCCAGTCCTCACATCATCTTCGTGGCCCTCCTCTGGACCCGCTCCAGTAGCTCCATGTCCTTCTTGTGTTGGGGACTCCAGAGCTGAATGCAGTATTCCACATGGGGTCTCACGAGAGTTGAGTAGAGGGGCAGAATCACCTCCCTCGACCTGCTGGCCACGCTTCTTTGGATGTAGCCCAGGATAAGGTTGGCTTTCTGGGCTGCAAGCGCACACTGCCGGCTCATGTTGAGCTTCTCATCCACCAGCACTCCCAAGTCCTTTTCCTCAGGGCTGCTCTCAATCCATTCTCCGCCCAGCCTGTACTTGTGCACGGATTGCCCCGACCCACGTGCAGGACCTTGCACTTGGCCTTGTTGAACTTCATGAGGTTCTCACAGGCCCACCTCTCCAGCCTGGCAAGGTCCCTCTGGATGGCATCCCTTCCCTCCAGCGTGTCCACAACACCACACAACTTAGTGTCATCTGCAAACTTGCTGAGGTTGCACTTGATCCCACTGTCCATGTTGCCAACAAAGATGTTAAATAGCACTGGTCCCAGTACTGACCTCTGAGGAACACCACTCGTCACTGGCCTCCACTTGGACATTGAACCGTTGACCACAACTCTTTGAGTGCGACTATCCAGCCAATTCCTTATCCACTGAGTAGTTCATCCATCAAAACCATGTCTTTCCAGTTTAGAGACAAAGATGTCGTGTGGGACAGTATCAAATGCTTTGGATAAGTCCAGGTAGACGATGTCAGTTGCATACTACTTCCTTTTTGCATTTTATTGAATACCAAGCTTTTACTACAAGGCTTACTCAGAGTCAGTTAAAATACTGTCATGATATAATGCAACAAGAACACTTTTCACACGTTTAGAAATTTGATCTGGACATCACTTGAGATATTACACTTCTATGTTTTCTTTCACTGACAAAAGTTTCTGCTAAGTACAAACCCCAAAACCCACTATACTCAGCAATTCAGGCAAAGCGCACTGAAAATCTTTGTTTGACTAGCATTTACTGTCATTACATTAGCATAAGTGAGGCACTCTCTCATTTATTAATGGCCTGGTTTCAGCTGAGACAGAGTTGGTTCTTCTTTTTAGCAGCCAGAAGAGCTCTGTGTTTTGGTTTTAGTCTGGGACTTGCTCTGAGAAGAACGTTGATAGTGCACTGATGTTTATAGTTGGCACTGAGGTTTCAAGGACTTCTCAGCTGCCGTGTTCTTGCCCGTGTGCAGGAGCACAACAATGGCGGGGACAGAGGGTCCACGACTCTCCTTATGATTTGAACTTAGACTTAGGATTGAGGGCCAAACTGGCCAATGAAGTATTCCATACCATGCAGTGTCATGCCCAGTATAAAAATGAGGAACAGCTGGAAAGAAGGGCTTTTGCTCTTCCAGGGCTCTCACTCTTGGAGTGCTCTCTCGGTCTCGCTCTCTATTTTCAGGCCTCTCACTCATCCAGGACTGCGGTGTTGGGACTTATCTGTTTCAGGATCATTAGTTCGGGATGAGACGGGCCTCAGTCAAGGGGTGGTGAGCAATTACACCATATATCACCCATTTGTATATATTTATCATTGTACATATATATATATATATTCATATATTAGTAGTAGTAGTATTAAATTGTTCTTATCTCAACCTATGGGTCTCCCTTCCTTTTCTCCTTTAATTCCCTTCCTCATCCCTGGGGGGCGGGGGTGGGTGAGCGAGCGGCTGTTTGGAGTTTGGTTGCTGGAGTGGCCCAAACCATGCCGGTCCTTTGTGGTGCCGAATGTGGGCCCCGAAGGGTTGAGATTTGATCATGATGTGTTAAAATAAATTTGCCGTAATTTTTGCCATAATTGTTCATTATGTTTTCTTGGATGTCTCTGGATGGAATGTTGTTCTATGTGCTCTCACACTTGTTGCCAGAGTTCTGTAATTTAGCACCTGATTATCTGCCGTATATGCTGTTTGTCGGAACTTTTGTGCGGTTTACTATCTCTGGGTGTTGGACCGGAATGAAAGGCATTTTTTCGCTAATTAAGAGTTTTGCCATGCTGTGCTGTGTAATGCTGATAAAATCGTGGGTGTTGGGACCAGTTCTGTATCTATATTTGGTGGTGCAGATGGGGATGGTGATGTGGACCTCACTCATTAATTTGAAGCGCCACCTGGCCAGTGCTGTTGCCAATTACACTGGTAGGTTCTCTCCTTTGGAGAGCCAATTCATAAAGGGGATGGCTCCCTTCATTTTCCCCTCCTCCTCCAAACCATTTAAAAAAGCTTATGTGAATTTTGAGAATACTGAACATCACTGGAATAATCTAAACAGCTTGAATCTGTTGCAAGGTCTCCTGAATATACATTTAATTATATATATATATTTAGGGTTAATCAACCATTTAGAAATGTGTACCAATTCATTACTCGTGTTATTGTGCTTGCCATCTCAACCCCTGTGACAAGCACTGCGGCTACTCAAACCCTGGCTTCTGGTATTCGGTGCAAAACCAAATGAAAAAAACATCCCCTAAAAAAGCCACTACAAGCACTGCATCTAATCAGACTACAATGTTATCAGTTGCTCCCGTAAGGAAGAGGAAATGTGTACGAACATCAGAACGTAGAGGAGAGGATGATGATGAAGAGGAACCAGGGCCATCACGACGATTGGAAGAAGAGCAACCAGGGCCATCACGATGACTGGAAGAGCAGCAACCAGGGCCATCACGACAATCGGAAGAAGAACAACCAGGGCCACTTACTCAGAAGAGGAAGAGGCGGCAGGGGACTCTCAAGCAGGGCCATGACAACAACGAGAGATAAAGAGGGAACGTTCTCTTTCTCCCTAAATAAGAACTCGGCGGAGGAGAGACGATGATCTCACAGGTGAGACAATAACCACTCGATCTCTAAACATGAGTGAGCTGCGAGACTTTTGAAGAGATTATGGCCGTCATAGAGGTGAGCCCATTGTCATCTGGTTGCTCAGATGTTGGGACTTGGAGGCCAGTAGTCTGGAGTTAGATGGTAGAGAAGCCAGGCAGCTAGGAGCCCTTGCTTTGGATGGAGGCATTAATAAAGTGATTGGAAGAGACACAAGTCCGCAGCTTCTGGAGACGGCTCCTGGCAACTGTAAGGGAAAGGTATCCCTACAAGGACGAGATTCCATGTAATTTAGGCAAATGGGTCAACATAGAGAGAACTATTCAGTACCTGAGGGAACTTGCTGTGCAAGAGGTGATTTATTATGACCTGAGACATGCACAGTTATCCAAAGATCTGGATAATGTCCAGTGCGTACGACCCATATGGCGGAAGATTCTACAGAGTGTGCACCAGCACACTCTACCTCACTGGCAGTAACGGACCTCGGAGACAACACATCACTCGTGGGTGATGTAATCATTCAACTCTGGCAGTACGACGATTACACTTCTATACAGACCTGCGTCACGGCTGTGGAGAAGCTGTCTGAGGAGGTCTGACAATTAAAAGAAGAAATACGCTACTCCCCACCTGCATGTTCCAGAATTTCAGCTGTTAGAACCAGACGTTACCCTCCTCGAGAGAGACAGTATAGATCATGTGGCAAGCTGTGGTTCTACTTGCGTGATCACAGAGAAGACATGAGAAGGTAGGATGGAGAACCAACCTCAGCCCTAGAGGAAAGAGTACGCCAATTGCAAGGAAGAACCAACAGAAATAGGAATTCCCACCTGCATGTTCCAGAATTTCAGCTGTTAGAACCAGACGTTACCCTCCTCGAGAGAGACAGTATAGATCATGTGGCAAGCTGTGGTTCTACTTGCGTGATCACAGAGAAGACATGAGAAGGTAGGATGGAGAACCAACCTCAGCCCTAGAGGAAAGAGTACGCCAATTGCAAGGAAGAACCAACAGAAATAGGAATTTTTCTGATTTTAGAGAAGACACGAGAAGGTAGGATGGAGAACCCACCTCAGCCCTAGAGGAAAGAGTACGCCAGTTGCAAGGAAGAACCAACAGAAATAGGAATTTTTCTGATTTCTCCAGAAATAGGAGTTTTTCCGATTCCTTCAGGACAGATGTTGCTCCAGTCTACAGTGAGCAGTTCCCTAGACAAAATGGGAGGGCTGATCCTCATAACAATCCTTTCCTTTATCCTAATCCTGCTGATCCTCCTACACAAGGAGTGAATTATGGACATGATAACAGTTATTAGAGGGGCCCTGCCTCCAGCCAGGTGGAGGAAAGGGACAATCGAGTTCACTGGACTGCGTGGATTCATTGACATCAGACCCTCAAAAGTATAAGGCTTTAGTGGACACTGGTGCCCAATGCTCTTCGATGTCG